CTATCCTAAAAGCTGAGAAGCAGTACAGCCTCCTCTCCTCAAAGCATCCAATAAGGATTTGTACTGTAGTCATTCTATAGATGCTTGAAAACAATGTTTTCATTCCTCTTTTGGGCAACCCACATTAAAATATGTTAAGACACATTGGGGTAATGCCTTTACCTTGTAATGTCTAGAGAAACGTAAGTCTGAAGACTGGATTTGAGATTGGTGTTGCACATAGCAATTAATTATGCAATTATCTGGGCTCCTGAGTTGGCCCTTTAAATTTAACACCCATCAGTTTTAGGCACAGATCTACCTTCCCTCTAACGTATGTGCGGATGCGCACCAAGAATTTGAGTCCCGCCTACATCCTCAGCTGGGCCATGCAGTGGCTGCTCAGCTGCTCTGGGATGAGGCCACGTGGCAGGTGGTCAGCCACCATGCAGCCCTAGGCCAAGCTTCAGCCCACCAGGGCTGGAGCTGCAACCAGGATGGTCTGCATGGCAGGAAAAAAAGTTCCAGTGGCTGGGGCTAAAGCTGCTGCTTGGTAGATGGTAGCAGCTCTGGTGGCCAGAGCCCCCGGGTGGCGTCAGCTCTGGTGCCGCCATATGGAAGGTGGTTGTATCAGCTGCCAGTGCCACCACGTGGCAGCTGCTCCCAGCTGGAGCTGCGTGGTGGGCAGCTGTGGCTGGGCCAGAGCTGAGTGGCGGGCAGCAGTTGGGGCCAGGGCCAGGGCTACACGGTGGGTGGCTGCCCCGTCATAGGGCCAGTCTCAGGGCTGGGCAAACTGGGCCCATGCCCAAAGCACCATAGCCAGAGGGTGAGAACAACTGGACATGGGTGTTGCTTCGCAAAGGGGGTGGAGGGTACTGAGCAAGGGGGCAGCGTGGCAGGACATGCTGGAAGGGCAGAGTTGGGGTTGGGGGGTACAGCTGGAAGGGAAGTGTAGGGTTTGGGATGAAGGGGACACTGTGTAGAAGTAAAGGGGCATAGGCAGCACAGGATGGGGGTGTAAGGATTGGGGAGCCGATGCACTCAGGAACAGTGGGAACAAGGCTGGGTGCCAAGCTGGGTGGTTTTCAGGGTGGGTGTGTGCAGGGTCATGCACCTTAATTATCCCTTGTTTTAGTATTTATTCTTACATAAAAGGTTTTTTTATATATAAACAAACAAACAAACTGGTGGGTACCACAGTGGCACACATCTGAAAAAGCGCACATGATGTCAATATTGGTGCACAAGACAAAACTCATTCCACTAATGGATGGAAAATCTTAGAGGAAACACTGGCACAGATTCTGCATTTTCTAGGCACAAGTTTTAGAATTGCTCTCAAATGATCTGAGACAGAGATTTCATGTACACTAACAGTAACTCTGAAATACATAGCCTGGACTGGAAGATTTTTTTTACATTAGATCATAACTGTTTAGAGAAAAGAAGAATTCTTAATACAGCATAAAAAAGTATAGTTCCTAGGCTAAGAATTCTTAGGCTAAAACTCCAGGAGTTTTCCATCTACCAACTGCATATTTTCACTTTTTAATCATTTTAAAGGTTCAACTAAGCTTTAAGCTCACCAACTTGTAGGAGCTTCATCATCTCCCATTTCACCTTCTTCTACTTCCATTCCTTCATCTCTCTCCTCTATGTGCTAACAGAAGGGGGGGAGGGGAAATAGTAAACACAAAGTGTAAAAACTATATATGCAATTTTAATCTGAATATCATTTTTATTATGCCCATTTTCTTGATCTTCAATATTAATTGAAACCAAAACGAAACATCCTTTGAACAGTTTTTTGTTTGTTCATTCTTAAGTCATGTCTTCAAACAGCAACTATTAAAACAATGAAGTAACATTGCCATAGCAAGGTTGCAAGTGCTGCAGTTCAAATTTTAAACAACATGGAAATTAAAATAGGTCTTGAAAAGCAACAAGCTGTGAAGGGAATTCTCCTTCTCTTCAATCCTTTCCCCTCTAACAGCCTAATTTAGGAGTGTCTCTATATGAACAAAAAGATGCATAAGCACAGTAAGAATGGAACTCAAACATATGCTTAAGTGCTTTCCTGCACAGAAGCCTATAATATGTTTTCCTTCTTCTCTCCCCAGCTCTGGGGAGTTATGCTCAATATATGCTCTGAAAAAAAAATGTCTTGAATCGAAAAAAATTAGGAGCAGTCATGGACTGCAATTTCTACAAAAGTGTCATTCTAAGGCAGGGGTGTCCAAACTTTTTTCAAAGAGGGCCAGATTTGAAGAAGTGAACATGCGTGAGGGCCGACCATTTTGCCTGACATTCTTTGAACCATTAAAATTAAATGCAAATTAACTATTTTATGCAAAGTTTATTGCAAACGGCATACTTTTCATTTCGTCACATGGATGACAAATCTAAACAGGTGTTAAATCACTCTGCCTTTCATATCTGAAGGCCAGATGAAAAAAAAAATCCAGGAAGCTGAAATATATGTCAGGAACATTGTAAAGTACATTACATATTATTGGTAATAAAGGTTGTCTGTCAACTTTTAAGTTCAAAAAATATGAACAGGAACATAACACCAAGTATACATGTTGTGTCCAAATATATTTATAACTGATTTAGACCAACTGACTTTAACTGAGATTTTACAATGTATTCATCTCAATACATATGGATTCGTTGGGGGCCATAAAAGATAGATATTGCCAAATTACCCGTGGGGCCATATTAAACCGGAACACAGGCCGCAATTGGCCCGCGGGCCGGACTTTGGACATGCCTGTCCTAGTTAGTTCATCATAGAAGTGGGCTCCATTCTCCCCCTTGTGCCTTACTTCTATCTAACAATGGAGGGAAAGGAAGAAAAGAGAGAACCGGCGGCGCCCGCCATGGACGGCGGCGGCGCGCTGTGCGCGCCAGTTCAGAGGAGCGCCGGGTAGCCAGGAGAGGGGGAGGAAGCGGGGACTGTCCTCGCACTCTCAGCCAAAAAGCGGAGTGCAGGGGCAGGGTTTGGGACCGCAGCGGCGGCGGCGACCCGAAGCGGCGCGCTGAGCGCGCCGGTTAAAAAAAGCACCGGGGAGCCGGGAGAAGCGGGGGGCCGTATTAAATCCGACCGCGGTAAAAGATAGATATTGCCAAATTACCTGTGGGGCCGTATTAAACCGGAACACGGGCCGCAATTGGCCCGCGGGCCGGACTTTGGACATGCCTGTTCTAAGGACACAAAGAAAATGAACTTAAATATAAAAGATAACACCAAGGACATTGGAGTGGGGAGAAATCAGACAACGTGCAGTGCAATTTTGGTTTCTTTAGTACTTTAGAAAATCTGGATTTTATAACTTGCTCTTTATTTTTTAATTTTTGGATCAGAAAATATAGGACAATGTTGAAAGAAAAATTCTCTAAATTATTGTATCCTACACTACGAGGTCCCTCTCAACAAACTACACTACATATTATATATCCACATACATATTAAGAAAGGAAGAGACTAGTATCAACAGGGCTCGACAAATCCCCGTTCACCGGCAGCGTGCGCATTTGCAGTGTGGGGCTGGCAAGTAGATTTCACCGCTGTTTGTCAAGCCCTGAGTATCAAGCACCTGATTCTATAATGGACTAAACAAGGACAGAATTTCTGACTTCAGTAGAGCTCTGTGAGGAAATTGTACAGGCCCTGGACCTGCATATCTGTGTGTGTGTGCGTGCGTGTGCGTGTGCGTGTGCGTGTGCGTGCGCGCGCGAGAGAGAGAGAGAAAACATGCTAGCACTTCAGTCTCATAAGAAGTTAGGGAAATTCTTATTTAATACAAAATGTTAACTCTTGAGCCCCAAGTTAAAGCCTCCTGTCTCAAAATTCCTACATCCCATCCTACCTATAACTGCTGATAGAGTAGAAGAAATGTGTTAACTTAGAGGCCAGAATGGTGTTTTATGGGAGCGCTATACACAGCTTTAGAAGTATATAATTCTAGATACTGGTTAAACTGGTTGTGGTTTTTGTGCCAGCTTTCCTATAGCTTTTTCAGAATTTTCTGCAGACATAGTTGAATGTAATACATTAATTCTCACCTTCTGTCCCACATTAATTCTCACCTTCTGTCCCAAAGTGCTGTCTTGTTCATTAGTATTGAAAACTGTGACATTTTCCAGATTAAACTGACTTTGCAAGTTAAGTCCTGCAGAAAAAAAAACCAATTTTTTAAAAGAGCAAATATATGCCAGTCTGAGAAACTATGAAGTTCACAGAGTCATGATTGTTACCCAAAATACAACAACCAATCTGCAGGAAACAAATCAAGTACCAATTTTTTTTATTTAAATAAAAAGTGAAAGGTTTTTAATTTCTATATTAGGCACAAATTAAACTAAGAAAAAGTTAGAAGCTGATTTCTGGTTAAGATCAATTTTATTTGGAGTAAGATTATACAAGACTGGAGTATTTAGTCTGTTTTATGTTACTCTTCTTTTATGTGAAATACATAAAAGCTCACCTGACTTCTCTGAAAGAGGAAATAATCTAGCAAGGAATAGTTGAATTCTTCCACAAAAGACTGTATTTTGTGATTTAGATAATCTTCTTAGGAGGTCTAAGTAATATAAAAATGAGAAAACAAGAACAAGCAGTAATGTTATCTCCCAATTTCTCATCCACTTTATCTCTAGCACTAATTTTAAATGTTCATTTAGGTGGGACTCATATAGCTAATAAATTTGAGAAAACTAAATTATAATGCTTGTACCTTAAATTATCCTTGCTCTTCAGACCTTAAATGCTTATCTACTGTATCTGAATGGATCAAATTTCTGAAATCCCACAAACCAAGAGCTTGTGAATTCCCTAAAACTGTCTTTAAAAAGAATTGCATAAAGAAATCTATTGGACCATTCCTTCCAATACAGTCTCTGGCAATGATGAGGGCTTAAATATCACTCATTTTTTTTCTCTCTCTTAGATCTCTCCTTCTCTGTGTTAAACAGAAACTGTCCCATAACCAAAAGCTCATATTGAGCAGCAAGGTCTTGAACACCTACCAAGACAAAACAACTCATTTAAAAAACTGTTAGAGAAAATATTCTAATGTGATTCAAATATTAAGACCCAAGTTTTGTTCAGAAGCTGCACAGCACTTCCCTTAAGAAATGCTACTCACCATTGCACATTCTCAGCAAGTAATTCTTCCCAGCTGAATAAAACGTATTCTGAAAAAGAGCAAATGTATCAATATTGTTCAGAGGATGCTGCAATCTTCAATAATTTTTATCTTTTCAACACAACAACATAATACAAGTCACTTTAATACTAGAAATACGTCAATCTGAGCGCATCTTGTTCTTAAACCTCAATTGTGAATTTCCACTTTTGAGAGACTCTACAAAATTAAAATATGTCCCATTAATTCCAAGAAAATGTCTAGTTCATCATGCAAATCAAGCTTCCTGTCAACCTCTATACAAATACAAGGAATGCATGTAATCATTTTTCTGAAAGGCTCTTAACAGAGTGGAAGACACTGATTCACATGTATCCCATTTTTATTTTTCCCTGTATGTGTTTTATGTATAGCATTAGCAGAGAGGAATCCTGTGGCACCTTATAGACTAACTGAAATGTTGGAGCATAAGCTTTCGTGGGCAAAGACCCACTTCGTCAGATGCATATGTATAGCATTCAAATTAAGAAAAGCATGTAAACACAAGATTCAGAACAGCACCAGCTGGCACTAGAGATATGGCAGTACAAGAAGTGAAATGGGTGATGTTTAGGATAGGGATGTTAAATTGTGGTTAGTAAGCTAATCGAGTAGTTGATGGAATTTCCATCAACTATTCTGTTGTCAGTCAGGCAGGGTCCTCCTGACAGGTCTCTAGCTCCATCGATGATGATATCCATAAGGCTGATTGCGTGTGTGCTCAATGATGTGTGCAGTGTCGATATGTTGGTTAACACAGCAAACTTCAAGACAGCCCCCAAAGACCACAAATCAGAGGAGGATCAAAGGTGCCCAGCTAGGATTATTATTAAATGAAGTACAGTAATAGTTGTCAGTAAACTCTACTGAACCACTATGCCTATGGAATTCGTAACAATGGAATGACTTAATCAGTGGGTGGTCTCACTGCCCCCTAAGACACCACTTTACATACAGGTACAAACAAGTCACACATCGCTCCTGACATGTCAGGTTACCACCCTGTGATGCTACTTAGATACCACCTATCACTCTGTACCTTGCGGTTTGATCAGATCGTCTCTATTTACCATGCTGTCATTTTAGACCCTTTCCTGAACCTGGGTCTCTATCTCTGGGGAGCGTGGGTACCAAGGTCTTTTTTAACGAGTTGGTATTACCATGTACTTTCAAATTATGACTAAGAATGTTATAACAGTTACAGTTATTTTACTAGTTGATGCAATTTTAACTACTCGACTAATCGATGTTCATTTCAGAGGTGGAATGCAGAAGTGCCTAAGGGCTCCTTGTGGAGCTCTTGTACATTTCAAAGGAGGAATGCGGAACTCTGCATGCAGTCCGGGGTCAGCAGGGCTTCCACTGGCCTGGGACTGCACACAGCATGCCAGCTTTGAAATATACAAGAGTTCCCAGGCTGACCCCAGGCTCCATGCTGTGCTGCCAATTTGAAATGCTATGCAGAGCCGGGGACTCCCCAGCTGATCATGGGCTACGCATGGATTTCAGCCGAACCCAGGATCAGCTAGGAACTCCCCAGATGACCGCGGGTTCCGCGCAGCATTTCCACAGAACCCGGGTTCAGCTGGGGACGGAAATGCCACCCTGGAGCCCGGGATCAGCAGGGGAGTCCTCAGCTGACCCTAGGTTCCATGCATAGTAGCAGCGAAGTGGCGTTTCAAAGGGGCAGCACCGCACAGCTAATCCTGGGCTCAGCTGTGCGGCGTTGCCACTTTGAAGTACCCTCTCTTCTCCCCCTTTGTTGCCTCTATCTGATAGAGGCAGCAAGGGTGGGCTGGGGGGAGGAGGGGGGCGGGAAATCAACTAGTCAACTCGTCCTTAACATTCCTAGTTATGACAAGTAACAATTACTGTTTTACAGTGCGTACCTAGTACCAATTACTATTCTATACATGGGCCTATTACCAATTAGTGTTTTGCAATCTCAGCCATGTTCGTGCCATGCTCTGTGAGCAGGCTTTATGTAAGCCATGCTTTGTCCATTGTTAGCTAGGCCTCAGACCAAGCCTGTGCTACATGAGCTTATGTATTGGGCCTTCATCTTACCCCATATTCAATTAGTGGATAAGGGGGTTAGCTCCCAGGGCAGCAGTCCTGACTCACGTTGGCTCCGGGATCACTGTGGCTTTGCTTTTTAAATGATGTAAAAGCCCTGGACTGCTCTTACTACATTTAAAAAGCAGAGATGCAACATTTGGGACCCTGCTGCGGATCTGCTTTTTAAATGTAGTATGAGCCTGGGGGCTCTTTGGCAAGTTATGACTTACACATACATTATCTTTGGCAAGAAAGAAACATGCTTTAGAAAAAACACTTACAGACTTCCACGTAGTGACATTTTTTTCGACAAAGGTAAAAATTTTATCACAGTGATCCAAAGGAAGGCAATCCAGAACATCTCCCAGAAGCACAAAAGGGGTTGATGCTGTGCAGATTCCTTTAGAGAAAGGTGGAGTTCTAGTTATCATTTTAGTCAGAAAATATAGTTATTAAGTGCAAGCCTAACAAGAACTGTATGAGGAAGTTGCAACATATCATATTAGAGAGATGGTACCAAGAGGCTACAGTGTAAATCCTTCTGTTTTCCCGTAGGTGTGTGCACACAACCATGTACCATATCTAGCACTATGGTGGTACTGCTGTAATACAAATAAGATAGATACAGCAGTAGTAATCACAACTCAGTAGGTTTCCAAAATAAGACATGTTGGAATTTTTGTTTAAAAGTAGTTATTACAATTAGGGGTGTCTATTAATAACAATTAACTCAAAAAAATTAATTGCTATTAATTGCACTGTTCATAGCAGAATACCAATTGAAATGTTTATAATTGTTTAGATGCTATTCCACATTTTCAAATATACTGATTTCAATTACAACACTACAAACTCTACAGTGCTCACTTTATTTTTATTACAAATATTGCTAGTGTAAAAATACATAATATTTTTCAATTCACTTCATACAAGTACTGTAGTGCAATCTCTTTATCATGAAAGTGCAACTCATATTGATTTGTTTTTGTTACATAACTACACCCCAAAAAAACAATACAAAACTTTAGAGCTTACATATCCACTCCGTTCTACTTCTTGTTCAGCCAATTGCCTAAAATAAATACGTCTGTTTGCATTTACAGGAAATACAGTAAGACTCCAATAGTCCGGCACCCAGTTGTTCAGCACTCCTGATACTCCGGCATCAAAATGTCAAGCGCTCCTGTCCAGCTGATTAAAAAGCTGGCCGCTCAGCACAGGTGCCAGCTGTACCCAGAAGGAGCATAAGGGTGGGGGGGGGGGAAGTGGGATCGTGTTACAGTATGGAGAAGAGCGTTTTGCTTCAACTAAGGGGAAAGGAGAGGGGAAGGGATCAGGTTACAGCATGGTGAAGAAGAAGTGAAGAGGAAAGGAGAGTGGAGAGGGAGGAGGATCAGGTTACAGCAGGGAGTAGAAGCAAAGAGGAAAGGGGATGGGTGAGGGAGGGAGATTGTGTCCCAGCCACCTGTTAAGCCGTACAGCTGTACCGGGACCTCCCGATATTCTGATACTCCGGCATATCTGATAATCCGGCACCACGTAGGTCCCAAAGGTGCCGAATTATCGGAAGTCTACTGTAATGTAGTTCACTTAGCTGCTATGTCTTGTGAAAGAGAGAACAGGCATTTGCATGACACTTCTGTAGCCAGCACTGCAAAGTATTTACATGCCAGATATGCTAAACATTTCTATGCTCGTACAGGTTGGACCTCTGTGGTTTGACACTCTTGGGACCTGGCCAGTCCCAAACAAGGGAATTTGCCGGACCAGGGGAGATCCTGTCACCAGCCTCCCAGGCACACACCAACTCTGTTTCTGGCCCCAGCCAGCCCCAACTGCCTTCAGCCAGCTGTTCTGCCAGAGCCTTCAGTCCTGGGACTCCCAGCTGTGCCTCCTGAGTCCCCTGCCACAGGGCTTCTAGCATGCTGCAGGGCTCACTGCACTGCCTAAGCCCTTGCTGTGCTCCTAGCTGTGCCACCAGAGCTCCCCCCACAGCCTGAACCCCTGTTACAGGGCTCCTAGCTGTGCAGCGGGGCTCTCTGTATCGCTTGAGCTCCTGCCACACTCCTGGTTACACTACTGGAGCTCCCCACGCTAGCCAAGTCCCCTGATGTGGGGCTCCTTATGCCGCCAGAGCCCCTTGCCACAGGCGCCTCACCCCCATACCACAGGACTCCAGGAGCTGCCTGAACCCCTAGCTGCACAGCTGGTGACTCATACAGAGTTGCTCCCTACAGCAATATGCTACTGGTAGAATCCTAAATTCTCCTTAAGTAGCACATCACTACAGGGAGCAGCTCTGTACAAACCACTGGAGCACCCCGCACTGCAGAAATCCCTACACCACCTGAGCCCCTCTTGCAGGACAGGTGTTCCAGGCACTGGCTGACCCACCCTGATGTGGAGCTCCTTACGCCACCAGAGCCCTCTGCCATAGGGCTCCTGTCCGCATTGCGGGATTCCCTGCACCGCCTGAGCCCTCTGGCGCTGTGTTCCCTGCCCACCACTGGCCTCCCTGGTCCAAGAACATCCGTGGTGCCTGACCAGAGCGTCCCGGTTTAGGGAGGTACAACCTGTATGTGCTTCAGCCACCATTCAAATGACATGCTTCCATGTTGATGGGGCTTCAGGGGGTAGCCGAGTTAGTCTGTTACAGAAAAAACAACAAATGGTCTGGTAGCACTCAGACCATTTGTTGTTTTTCCATGCTGATGATGCTCTTTAAAAAATAATGTGTTAATTAAATTTGAGACTAAACTCCTTTGGCTGGACTGTCCTTAGGATTTATGGAGCCCTACACAGTACTATTAAACAGGAGCCTTTATGCCCAATGGTAGCCTAGGGGAACAATGATGATTTTTTAGAGATGTGATTTTATAATCTTCAGCAACAGATTAATGAAATATTTTAAAGCAAATTTTAAACTCAGGTCCTATAGACTAATGCCATAACTTCAGAAACCTAGGGGTTTCAAAAGACTGTTAAATGGCTTCATTACTACTTAAATGGCTCTTTCACAGGTTCAATTTTCTGCTAAAAGGTCTGGTGAGTGGAAAGTTTTTTCACTCTTAAGTTAACTAGATACTCTCTGGAGTTAGATTCACCAGGCTTCAGAAGCCACAGACCAGAGATAGGAAGGAACAGGAGAGTGGACATTAGGATTCACTGATGCCCCAAATTTTGAGATGCCCCAAACAGCTGCATATTCTGCATATGGTTAAGGACGACCCTGTCCTTGGGGAAGATCTATATGTCTACTGCTCTATTTTACCTGCAGTCTGCCTTATACTTCATGTTATAGCAGTCTCCGATGATGACCAAGCACACGTTCTTAGTTTTAAAAACTCTTTCACTTGCAGATTTTACAAAATGCAAAAAAAGATACCAATGTGAAATTTCTAAAGCTAACTATAGCACTAAATCCAAGATTTAAGAATCTGAAGTGCCTTCTAAAGTCTGACCCCCGTAATCCCAGTCTGAAAAGCGCTGAGTTAGTCAAGTGAATATTACAATGGTGCTCTGATAAATGGATGCAGAAGTTACAGAGGTACACAGCATATGGAATCACACCGAACAGGTCACACTTTATACTAATCATTCATGAAATAAAAACATTTTGCAGAACAATGATTACTGCAGCTTTTTTTTTTTTTTAAAACAGGAATGCACTCAAGTGACTTTATTTTTCCCTATTCATAAACAAATGGAATGTTTGCATTTCACTCCTCACCATAATATCTTATCACTTATGCAAAGGAGTTCACCTAACTAAAGCTAAGGACCATGCACTAGCAGAGTCAACATTTGTAAATACTATTGAAATGATATGGTAAGTAAACTCAAATGAATACCTCATATCAGGTTGTTTTATATAAATTACTCACCATCTGTAACTCCATTAATAGCAAGAGAAATAATAGCCAAGACATTTTCACATGAAGCTTGGTTTATCTAAACAAATGTAAAACATATTTACTACACAGAGTCCAAATAATTTGTATTACTTTGATCAGATATATTTAATGAAGTCAGAGAAAGCTAAAGTCTTATTTTACTTAAATATATTTTATTTTACAAAGTTCAAAGCCTCACTAAGGGCAAAAGGAAAAATCAGTGTTCATTTCCCCATGAAATTAAGCATATTAGGAAGTAACATTCTGTAGCAAGTATTTCATATAAAGCTCACACTAAGTTAAACTCACGCAGCTAAGTGACATTTCCAGATTACTTATGGTAATTAATGACTTTATAGCACATTATGCATGGCCAATGTCTAGATTTCCTCTGCAATTTTCAGTTATCTGATTCCTTCCATAAACAGTGACTGGGTCTATGCTCAAAATTTAAATTGCTACTGCACTCAAGAGCATGAATGGTGGACTTAAACTCCAGTATAGATGCAGTCAGGTTCACAGAGGAATAGTTCTGTTAACCTAGCTACCTTTGCTTAGGGAGGTGGAGTGCCTACAGTATGGAAAGAAATCCTACATCACTCTGGACTGTATCTATACTATGGGATTATGCCTACAAAGCTACAACTATGTTATTACAGCCTCCGCAGTGATATGCAGACTGTTATTAAACAGATAACATGCTCCACCAAAGAAGCATCTGCATTTTGTTACTGGATGAAGTGAGTTTCTCTATATTTTGTGAAGTGCTTAGGTATGAGCAGCGATACTATTCGAACCTAAGATTAAAAGGCACTTGTTGGGGTATACACAACTACAGACAGAAAAGTTAGGGAATGTGCACTTTTAAAAAAAAGTTTTCTTTTCGAACTGCCAAACAAATCCTCCAAGTGTGCACTCTGTTAGGTATTCTTTGATGCAAGTTATTGTTTTCAATTTTGTTTTACTCTTAGGTTATTGTTCAAGGGCTAAATAATGAAAAAAGCACTCTCTCTTGAATTTTCTTATTAAGACACTATGTTATGAAACATTATTTGTGAAAGCATTTTAATTGCAACATTTTTAGTTACTATTTATACAGCAAAGTGACTCATTTCAAACTTCATTTCTAAGTTTCTACAAGTTGTTACTAATAGTCAATACAATACACTCAAATGGCGAATAAGTATACATCAGCTGTACATTAGCTAACATATGCAATTTCCATTTATAATCAACAGAATTACAAGTGATGTAAAATGAAACACTTACAATTTCCTCTTCTAGAACAACTCTGAAAGATTGATCCAGGGTACATTTCTTTTCATTTTCACTACAAACAGAAAATTGTTAGACTATATTGATGAAATTGTCAGCATTAATAACAATGATTTGAAAAGACATATTTTTAAATGAAAAGAGCTCCTTACCTTCCAGGAATCTGGTTGAATGCATTCAATAAGGGCTTAATAGTTTTGTTGGTCAGAGCATCTCGAGTAGAATTCTAAAAACAAAAATGACAAAATAAATTGCAAGAAACTCCCAACAGAAAATCATAAGGAAACCAAAAGTAGTTCAGATACAGGAGTCTCTTTTTAAAATCTGACAAAGAAAAAAAAAGTTAAATATTAATCAATCTACTTGCTCTTTTAATATGTGGGGATTACCGTTAGGGATGTGAAAGGTTAACTGGTTAACCTTAATGGATGATGCTTACTGGTTCCAGTTAACCAGTGAGAGCTGGAGCAGCTCCTACCCACCGGGCTGCTCCAGCCATGCGAGGCCCACTGCAGATAAAGGTGCTCCAGCCAGACCAGAGCAGCCCCTATCCATGGTCAGCTGTAGTAGGGCCCACCCCCGCTCTCCTACACTCTCCCCTTTAATTGGTTAACTGGCTAAACACTACATCTAAACTGTTAACTAATTAAGCAGAATTTTACAACTCTTATTGCCACAGATCAACTTCCACTAAGAACAAACCTATGCAATGTGGTGGGTCATCATACATTGGAATGTAATGCCTTTAAATCACCAAAACATATGTTAAAATAATTAAAGTGTTCTTAACATGACAAATGTTCTAGATTAAGGATGTTAACTAGTGGTTAATTTACTAGTGAGTAGTTGATGAAATTTCCATTGACTTACTTGACAGGCACTCTGCATTCCTCCGTTGAAATGTACGAGAGCTCTCACTGGGGCACCTGTACATTTCAAAGGAGAAATGCAGAACTCCACATGCAGCCCAGGGCCAGTAGGAAGTCCCATTGACTCCAGGTGGGCTAGCTTTGAAATGTACAAGAATCCCCAGGTGACGCCGGGCTCCATGTGGCATTTTAAAGCAGAAGTGCCCTCATGGAGCCCGGGCTCAGTGGGGGACTTAGAGTCCCCCGCCTCCCGCACACTGACCCAGGGCTCCATGCTGCGTTGCTGACTTGAAATGCTACACAGAGCCCAGGGTCAGCTGTGCGTCACTGCCCTTCTAACACTGTCTCAGCATTTCAAAAGGGCAGTGCCGCACAGCTGAGTTGGATATCAGCTGCGCAGTGCTGCCACTTTGAAGTACCCTCTCTTCCCTTCCCCTTTTCTGCCTCTATCTGATGGGAGGTGGGGGGAGAAGTGGCGGGAAGAGGGGATCGACTACTTGACTATCCGATAAGCATTTGCTCATCAGATAGTCGACTAGTCCTTAACATTCTTATTCTAGATCAGCGGGTCACAAACTTTAGCAACCCAAGGACCCCCATTTTGATTTACAATTTTTCATGGATCCCCAACAACATTCCCTCTAATTTTTTCAATCCATTGTGCGGAATAAATCTTGCGATGTGTACCAAGACATGCGCAGATGTTCACTAGCAGTAGAAACACATGCTGCTGACTGTAGGCGCTCTGCTGATCAGCCGCGCTGTATCTGAATCTCTCCTGGGTGGCTGCCCAAACACTCAGTTTACAGGGAACACTGATTCTCCCGCAGGCTTCTAATTTTCTCCACTCACCCATCCCACCCTACTCCATCCTTTCCCCCAAAGCCCTGGCCCCACTCCACCTTTTTCTGCCCCATCTCTTCAATATCTTTCTGCCCCTTGCCCTTCTCCACTTCCACCCCTCCCAGGTGGCACTGGGAGGGAGAAGGTGGGCTTGACTGGCAGGGCCAGTGGCCCCCAGAGTGCCCCCATGGGTCTGCACAACCCAGTCCGAGAACCGCTGTGCTCTACGACGGCCTGGTCTACTCACGAAGCTGCACCAGCCCAATGGGACCGAGGGGGGGGGGGGG